ACCTTCCAATTCGTCCGCTTTTTGGACCTCTTCTAGTAACCATACGATGTGAGAAAGCACCCTTTTTACCTTGTCTTCCATGTCAGCATCATCATACGCAACGATCACCGGTTTCGATAACTTGAATGCGGGCCGTTCCTGTTCATCTAGCGAGCATTCCATGAAATAAAATTTCTCGGCGTCGGTAACTATCCCAAAAACTTTTCCAACTGTCGGATTCTCTTCTAACTCATTAGCCTTGCGTTTACGATTCGACAAGGATGACTCGAGCTGGACCGCACATTGGGCAACTCCCTTGATGAAATTATCCTTCTTAACCTCAGTGACTACCACAGTTTTTGCCGTTCGACGCAAGTCGATTGCGAAATCAACAGGACCATGTCCATTCGGACCAGAAAGATATTTTTGAGGGCGGACCATGAATACACCTTTGAAATTATTTGCAGATATGAATAGATGTATATAGATTTCGTGGCTTCGATTGATATCACATTCATTGGAGTGATGTCGAGTCGTGAATTTAACTCTAGCATGAGATTTTTAAACACTTCTTGCGATGGTTCGATACTACCACACGAAAAAAGTGGGAACACTGCTAATGGTGGATTTTCTGTTTCGGTGCTAAGACTGAAAAGCTGACACACTGAACCAAGAGTCCAATCTGAGAATGCTTTTGAGGGAGTCTCTATGAAGACGGTAAACTTGAGGTCATTCTTTGACACGAGTAGCTGGAGTGTTTTACAAAGGTCTTGATCTCTTCGAGGTGAGTATTTTCCACTATCGCTTACTAGGTTGAACACTGCTCCTTCATTTTCAGCTGGTGTTTGGTATATTGCACGTATGAATTTCTTGAGGCCTTCGAGGGTCGCATGTTCAATATTCACTATCCACTTGAATGATTTCACCCGCTTCGGGCTTACGATAACATCGAATTCTGCAACACAACAGCTGATTAGTAAAAAATCTTTTTTCAGAAGATAGTCTGATCGTTCCCTGAGGGAACGGTTTTTTTGTCAAGAAATTTTATACATATAGGCACCATAGACAGACTTGTTAATCGATGCCTCCAATGACGCGATTCGGTTGAGCAATTCCTGTTCACGGCTCGAACTGGCAATTTGCACCGGTGGCTCGACTATGACATGAATATGTCGCTTCGGTGGTGCGGACCAGAAATCTCCTACGTCTCGAGTGGCGAGGAGTTCGTCAGTTAATTCGTGGTCCGCTAATTCGGAATCGTGATCGTTAGGAATTTCAACCTTCCATAACCTGAGTTCGTCGGCAGGGATATCATCAAAACGTGGCGCCTTCTTCGCCTTAATAATTTTTTTGAGGTGGCTTACTAACTTGCCACTATCAATATCAACAGCGAACGCATTCGCGGGTAAGTTTCCTTTAACCAAACAGACCAAAGTAATAGACATTTCGAGTTATATATGATTTGTTGGTAGAATTTTATTGGTAGACTGCGAAATGATACACAAGAAAAAGTGAAAAAACGATAATGTGAGAAATGCATTCGGTTTCACAATACTTGTGTCACATTACTTTTCGGCAGAATTTTTCCAGGTGATATATGTTAATCGAACATCTGTGTTATGTAATCGATTTTATTTTATTTCGGAAATTTGGTTATAGTAGATTACACGATTAAATAATGCACGCAGATGTTCCATGAATCCATTTTGGTTAGATTTATTTTTATGATTTGCATTGCCTTATTTAGCATGTTTAGCATATACCCACTATATCACTTGATATGTATATGCATAATAATAACTTGCAAATTTTTAAATTCTTTACATCACATGATATAGCTTTTGTCACAGCTGATATATTACTTTGTATATTATTGCTATAGTGATAGTGTGTAATGATTTTAAACTATTTGCTATTATCTTGAATGATGATTTTCTTCTTGTGAATTTTTCAATTTTATTTCATTATCATTATTATTCTATTTTCACAAATTTTTTTCTTTTAATTTTTTTAGTATTATACTTATTATACCAAACTGGAAGGTAAACAAAAGATTATAAAAAGATAAGCATAAATACTTTTAATTTTTTTAACTTACAAAAAAATATTTTTATTTACACATATTAACAAAAAGAATATTTAATATAAAAAATTACAATTTAGAAAAAAGTAGATTTAGTCTTCATCTGCTAAATATACAAAAAAAAAGAAGAGATAGGAATTTTTAATAATAAGTAAAAAACTGATTACCTATTAACTCTCTTAATATATAATAAAAAAAATATTTACTAATTAATATATTCTGAAAAATATCATATTACTATTAAGATTTAATAAATAAATTAAATATTGAACTTTTGAAAAAAAATATATGATATATATAATGCGTTACAAAAAAAATTATAATTTTTAATTTTTTTCATAAATATTTATTTAAATAATATAAAAATTTAAATATATATAC